CATAGCGACCCCTCCTTGGGTTTCCGAGGCAGTATCACTACGGAAGTAGGATTGCCCAACCTTCCTTCCGACATATATGTTTAGCAGATAATATTTCTACATACATTTTGTATGTGCTATAAAATGTTCATATAATAGACATATATATAGACACATATATATGCATAGAGAGAGAAACATATATACAAGAGCTTATGGGGCAAAGTTAAGATAATTTCTTAGCCATATCTAAGTACCTTGAGGGAGTGATGACTGGTCCTGCAGCCTCAGGACCATGGTCACAGGGGATATCAAGTTCAACTAGCACAAGATAGTACACAAAAACACTGTTCTACATCTTACTTTGGTGAGTAGCAACTGGGGTCTTAAAAGCTTGTGAGCAGCTATCTAAGATGCAACTATTGATCTCCTCATCCAGAGCAAAGCAGAATGAAGAAAATCAAAGACACCTGGAAACAATTACTCCAAGGGATTAAGGGGCCATGGGAACTTCAGCCTACATGATCCTGAGACCAGAGTAACTAGACCGTGCCTAGCTACTAATACCAGCCACTCAGAAAAGGATCAAAATTGGAGATACTGGATAAAGCAGGAAAAAAATGGGAACAAAATTCAAAAACATAAAAAAGACCAGGATTACTGGTCAGATACAGACTTGTGAAACCCCCAAGACTAATTAACCCTTCAGGCCTGGAAATGAACTCACTCCCATGGTGGAACTCTTAGCCAACAACAGGCCTGAACAACTACACCAGGGAGATGCACTCCTTAGAACAATCAAGATGGGACATCAGAAAGGCAGCATTTCCACAAGGAGAAAGCTAGGGAGGCAGGAATACATAGGAAAGAAGGCCACAGGGGAAATGTAACAACAGGGAGGAAGTGGGAAGACAGCTGTTACATTGTGGGGATTGTAATCAGTATCATGAAACAAAATATATATGAACTATTCAATGGAACATGAATCTACTTTGAAAATTTTCACCAAGTCACAATAAAAAGTTAAAAGAAAAAAATAGGAGTAAAGAGTTTATGAAAACTCTATGTTTTCAACTTATATGTAGATCTCAAATGATTTCAAAATAAAAAGTTAAAATTATTATTCACTTGTAATTTTTTAAATGTTAGCAATAATTCAGGACCTTTAACTATAGCCTTTGAGATTTACACTACAAAACCTACTTCAGTATCAATCTAAAGAGTCAGTAAGAAAAAAGCTTATGTTCCCCTTAAAAAACATGGCTCTGAACAAATCATGTAGCTTTAGGTTTATGTAATGTTTCCGCCACAACTATTCCATCATTCCAGTCACAGCACCCTAGCAAGGGAGAAAGAGGGGTTGGGAAGAACAGGAATGTCCCTTCAGCCCTTACTCCTCTGCCTCTCTGTCTTCAAGGTCATTAATTGGGAGCATTAATTAAAGCCTTTAAAAGTGTTCTAAACATTTATGAGAACGACATAGGTTGCAAGGACTGTTAACAGATTTCAAGTTGGCAGCAAATTCAGGTCAGACGTTACTTTAGAGAAATGAAGATTTACAAAGAACCTCAAGTGGTACATTCCCCCACACTTGTGACAAAACCTGCTTGAGGTAACCACTCAGAATGGGTGCCTGGTAACTCCAGTGCAGAGTTGGGTTGTGCTGCTACTCTGCTGCCACCCAGCGGCATGCAGGAGCATAGACCCTCACCCAGGGAACAGGAGCCCAGAGGAGAAACTGGGCTCTAAGAAGGACATTTTCTTTTCTGTGGCAAGATATCTGGAGTTCAAAGGCAGGAGAAAGCAAGGGACAACTTCTGGCCCAGCCCCACAGATACACTAAAGAGATGCACTGTAAAGAGATATATGGGCATGCTTAACATTCTTGGGAAGGGACATATTAAAATAAATACTAGGTTATGGCAATGGCCACCACAAGTCTGCCAGTTTGTTATACTGTAGTGACTTATGTGTTTCTGTGATGAAAGACATGCTAATAGTATTTCAAATACCAGCAGTGTCACCCATGGTGGACAGGTTTCAGTGGAGCTTTCAGACTAAGACAGACCAGAAAGACTGTTGATCTACTTCTGAAAATTAACCCATGAAAACTGGATCACAACAGAATGCCATGTAATATAGTGCTAGGAGAGGAGCCTCTTAGGTTAGAAAACACTCAAAATACACAGTGGCCACAGCAATGGACATGAGCACACCAATGATGGTAAAGATGGAGCAAGACCAGGCAATGTTTCTTTCTGTTTTACATGGAGTTGCCAGTAGTTGGATCCAACTCTACAGCAACTAAAAAGTATAATGATCAAGTGTTTTCTACACCTCACATTAAGGACTACTCCAGAGACTAAATCGAGCCCCCAGATATGACAAGGACTCAGGAGACAGACCCTGGGACCTAACTCTAGCCTTACTGGGCTTACCTGCTTTGGATCTGAGATGGTGGTGCCAGTGGTCGGGGATTCCAGTTCTATGGTCACAGGCCCATCATTCTGAATGTGAACTTGCATGTAGGCACCAAACTTGCCATCTGAAAGAGCAATGTAAACCATTATGAGAGATGAAGACACCATATTATCCTGTCTAATGAGCACATCCAGATCAGAGTACTCAGAAACCTAGTGGGGAGCTCTGGTGGCCTAATGCCTAAGGATCTGACTGCTAAGCAGAAGGCTAGCAGTTCAAACCCACTAGCCACTCCTCAGAAGAAAGGTTGGGCAATCTTCCTCCATAGTGATACCGCCTCGGAAACCCAAGGAGGGGTCGCTATCAGTCGGATCCGACTTGACCACAGTGTGTTGTGTTGTTTGCATTGCAGAGGGTAGTACTGGCCAGTCACTGTAGGAAAGGGTGGCCAATCCCACAAGTAATGAGGAAAATGAAATTAAACAGCAGAATGCTATTGTATACCCAACAGCCTTGGCAAGAGCTGATAACACCAGTGTCAGAAAGAATGTGGGTTAACAGAAATGTAATGGTAGAAAAGAAAATTGGTACAACCACATTAAAGAGCATTTTGGGGTTACATCAGTAAAGTTCAAGCTGACAAATGGTAGACAACTTGGAGAGCCTACCCTAGAAAGTCTTGTACATGTAAACAAGGGAAAATGTTGAAGGGTGCTTATAAAAGGAAAAAGTAGAAACAATATAACTGCCTCTCAGTAGAGGGTTGTATGCATAAACACTACCTTAGTTATTAATGTAAAATACTATACAATAGCCAATGAATTAGACCTATATCTGTCAACATGGCTAAACTGCAAAAATATAATGTGACCTTTAAAAAGTAAGCTTCAACAAGGACATATCCACTATGATATCATTTATATAATATTTTTAAACACCCAAAACAGGTTATATTATTTATGGGTACATGTGTGTGTATCTCAAAGTAAAAAAAAAAAAAAAAAACCTTAAAAAAAATGGGTAGGAAAGATAAAAGCTCAACATAGGACAGTAGTAACATACTGAAGAGAAGGCAGCCAGTGGTGGGATTTTAGTTATACCTTTTTAGAGAGAAAGGGGGTGGAGGAACTAAAGTAAAAGTGATAAACCTGATAGTGAGTACACTGATAACTATTTTCTGTATGTTTAACAATTAAATATTTTTAACAAATTAAATCTAAAGGGCAAGGAAAGCTTAGGAGGTTCCCCAAAATAACCTCATAAAATTGTTAAATCTCTGGGTGTAAAGTGTAAAGTGCAGGGGGAGGAGGTTTTGCTCCCTCATTTGTGGAGTCAAGGCAGCTCACACTACAGAAGCCACCACAAAAGGAGAGCTAAGAAGACAGCTCACTCCTCATGGGACAGGGTGCCCAAATCTGGGGCACACAGTCCAAAACACTCATCTTTCCCTGCCCCACACAGCTCCCCCCATCCGAGTGAGGTAGCAGAACCATCCTGGAGCCTAGGTTGCATAGTCAAACAAGCCACTGTGCTACCCCAAGAAAGTACCTCACTGTGTCTGTGAGAAAGAGCTCCAAACCTTCTGTTTTGACACCTAACTCACACATTTGTTTCTGATCAAGTCCCAAATGCTGAATTACATTTATTAAAAATATGCTTAGAGAGATAGTGTCATAGAATAATCAGAATCTCTGTTAAATGCTGGGTCTAAACATGCTGTTGGCACATACTGACATTTAGTCAAGAGAACACACTGTTCTGACAACTAGAGAGCATTGTGTGTACACCATCTCTGAAAAAAATAATTTGTAGTGTCTAAGGCACTTGACTGCTAACCAGAAGGCTCGTGGTTCAAACCCACCAGCCACGCTTCAGAAGGAAGGTTGGGCAATCTACAGCCTCAGAAATCCAAGGAGGAGTTGCTATGAGTCAGGTCTGACTCGACAGCAAATAACAACAACATAACAACACAATCCAAAATTAAGACTTTTCTGTCCACACCTACCACTAAGGAACAACAAGAGAATATGAAATATAGTCCATATTTGGAAATCACTTATCATTCCTCACTCATACTTGATAATTGTGTCCCAAGTGCAGTGCTAGATACCAAACACCACCTCAAAGGCTGGCAGTCATGAACCCATAGTGTAGCGGAGGAGGCAGATGGGAACGTCCTGGTAACGAGGCAGCAAGGTGAGGATCATGTCAGATTCCAGATTCTAGCCCTGGAGGCCAGGAGAGGGTCTGTCTCCCTGGTTTAGGGAGTGAAGAGGAATCAGAAAAGGCTTCTTGGATGAGGCTACAGACCGTCTAAGTCAAAATAAAAGGGCAACCAAGAATCTGGCTGCAAGAGAAGGAGAGGCCCAGACAAGTTTCTAAACTTCTCAATGCCTTGGTTTCACATCAGTAACCCAGGTACTAATAATGTTGTTGTTGTTGTTATGTGCCGTCGAGTCGGCCCCGACTCATAGCGACCCCTCCTTGGGTTTCCGAGGCAGTATCACTACGGAAGTAGGATTGCCCAACCTTCCTTCCGAGGAGTGGCTGGTGGGTTTGAACCGCCAGCCGTCTGGTTAGCAGGCAAGTGTCTTAGCCACTATGCTACCAGAGCTCCCATAGGATCTAAATAATGGTGAAAATTATATAAGGCAGTACATGTCAAGTGCTTGGGATAGTGGCTCGTGTATGGTGGTGCAAACTCAAAAGGCAAGTTCAAGAGCGTCCATACAAGCAGAGAAGCTTCACCCGAACTGTGCCTAGCCAGATATGCTTTCAATAATTTTGGAAATCATGCTTGTTTTAACTCTTCCTTGCAGGATCATGATGTACAGCATGTTAAAGTTCTCAGGACATCCTTGAGTATGGGAACCTTTTTTTTTTTTTTCACTCTTACGTTTCTCAAACTTCCCTGGACAGAATTTCACATAGAAATCTTCCTTCATTTCACATAGAAAATCTTTGCACCATGTGGATGACCCTTTGGGAGAAGCTGAGAAGAGAAAAGCAGGGAATGGGCCCAACAGCCTGGAGTCCCTCCCTATTACCATGACCAAACTGGAGAGTGGCTCTGCTCCCAGAGCTGAGGGGTTCACTGAGTCTCAGACCTAAGTTGCCTTGGACACCAGACCCTTCACTATCTGAAGCAATTTGCAGGCTCCCCTGCTCCCTGCCACTACAATTTCCACCTTGGATTCTACCTTACCTAGGGTCACTCCCTGCTGATGACCCTTAACCTCATGGAGGGTTGTAGCAAGATGGGCAAACCAACTATTGATTTCCTGATGTCCACAGACAGTAACACTAGAAACTATGGGAAATGTGGTAGTTAAATTTGTATGTCAACTTGGCTGGGCCTGTTGAGTGGCTGGGAAGCTGGTGGTAGTTATTCCCCATGATGAGATGGCAATCAACTCCATGGTGGGGCCTACCACAAGAAGCTGAGGAGCTGCCTTTGGGATGTGGTCTGCTTTCTGTATATAAGGAGAAGCCTTAGGGATAGTCTCTGGTTTATGGCACACTTGGACCCTGTATGTAGCCATGTCGTTGTTCAGCAGCCTGCCATGCCTGGCCGACCTTGGGACTTACAATGGACTTACAATGGAATTAATGGCCTGCTGTGTGGTTTGGTAACATCTGGACTGTGTCATTTTACTTGTAAACCTTGGGCTTGTCAGTCTCAGTAGCCAGAAGCTGTCTGAGTGAAGAAAAGCCTCTAGCTCCAATGGGCCGGGAGCAAGAGGCACAGATGAAGCTCAAGGTTGAGGGGCTTTTCACCCAGCCCCTAGAGCCTGGCACTTGGAACTCAGACTTCTAGCCTCCCAAACTGTAAGAGAATAAACTCCTGTTTGTTAAGGACATCCCATTTGTGGTATATTCTTGTCAGAACGGCACTAGGTAACCAGAACAGGAAATACCCAAGCTATTCACCATTTTCACAGGCAAGATTGATCTAGTTGCTACTGGGTAGTCAATCATGTTCAAATAATGTTGATTTTCTGTGACCTCCTATCAGATGAAAGTGGCTGTTGGAATAAACCAAGCTCTCCATTTTATCCATGTCAGAATAGCTAAAAAGACATCAGCTGGGAAGGAAATCATGTGTTTAATTGCATGCTAAAATTATGGCTACAATTAGTAGTGAATTTCAGCCGCTGCACTCCTCTGGGAAGCTGTAGGCACACTCAGGAGGAAAGGAATTATTTCTGACCTTGAATTTCTGTTGCCAGGATATACGGCATATGCTTCACCATGTTTATCATTCCAAATAGCAAGAAATATATTGTCTCTTCCTGTTTTTCTTCAGTTCAGAACAGAACTATTATCTGAATTTCCATTTATATAGACAATAAATCCAAAGAAATGTTTTAAGAGGCCTTAAAACGGTAACATTTTTTCCAGTCCAGATCAAAGAGTAAAGTTCCCAAGAAAAATTATATTGGCCAGGAAAAATAAACACATTTTCTAAAATAATCTGAAAAGATAAAAACATATCTACAAAACTACATGTGGGCTCCTACAGTTATATAATCAAATTGTTCTTAAATGTAAGTTCCAGGATGGGATCCAGAGCTGAAGGACCAGCACACATCAGAGATGTTTATGCAACATGTTGCAATGAGGAAAAAAATCTCACTGGAGCCAAACCCAACAGGCAAGACGCTTAAGCTACCTGAGGCCCAACACCATAACCCAGAACCACCTCACACCTTTTACTTATCCTTTAACTCCAAGGGTGAGTTCTGAGGTCCCTTTGAAATGCTTGACTGACTTGCCAGGAAGACCCTTGCACCTGGGAAACAGTTGTCCTGGGATGGATGATCAACGTGCCTGAGTGAGCACAGGCAGAGAAGGCTAAGTGGAGGCCCACACAACCAACACTCAGTAAATCTTAAAAACCCATTGCCATCGAGGCAATCCAAACTCCTAATGACCTTAAAGAACAGAACTGCCCTATACAGTTTCCAAGCCCATAATCTTTATGGAACCAGACTTTCACATCTTTCTCCCATGAAGTAGCTGGTAGGTTTGAACCACCACCTTTCAGTTAGTAGCTGAGCATTTAACCACTGAGCCACTTGTTGATGTTGTTATGTGCTGTTGAGTCATGTTGTTGTTGTTGTT